GCATTAAATTTGGTGAAAATCGATTCGAATACATCTATAGCTCCCATATATATGTTTCATCTGATTTGGTGTTTAAGTCCCTCACATTCGTAATATGCATTCGACAACAATGATATTTGGTACAAGATATCTTATAGAGCTCGGATATCTTATAGAGCTCTGCCAATATATTCTTAATCTGATTTCAGGTTTATTGTGCAAATAATGGCTAATATCATCCCAAATGGAGTGAATTTCGAGACATACGTTTCAATTTTGTGCAACTCGGCTCCGATATATATTTTTATACCCTCCACCATAGTATGGAGGGTATATTAAGTTTTGTCCTTCCGTTTGTAACACCTCGAAATATACATTTTAGACCCCACAAAGTATATATATTCATAACATTTTACTCAAATGTATATTATGTGTCCAGGACTTTTGGTATTGACAATGGGCCATGTAGGTCCACGTTTTGGTATAGCCCCCATATAACGATACCTACCGATATTCGGTATTTTGATGATTTTAGCGACATTATTCACCGGAATTGTCTCAAATTTGGTATTTGAAGTTCGAAATGGATACTACAGTCTAAGACAGAAAATTGTTCCTGCAGATCCACGTCTTCGTATAGCCACCATATAACGGTATCTCCCGATATTCGGTACTTTGTTGATTTTAGCAACATTATTCACCGGAATTGTTTCAAATTTGGTATTTGGTGTTCGTAATGGATGCTACAGCCCATGACAGGAGAATGTCTGTGCAGGTCCACGTCTTCTTATAGCCACCATATAACGGTACCTCCCGATATTCGGTACTTTGTTGATTTTAACAACATTATTCACCGGAATTGTTTCAAATTTGGTATTTGAAGTTCATAATGGATACTACAGCCTAAGACAGAAAATTATCTGTGCAGGTCCACGTCTTCGTATAGCCAACATATAACGGTACATCCCGATATTCGGTATTTTGATGATTTTAGCGACATTATTCACCGATTTTTTTTTAAGTTTCGCATTTGATTATTGTAATGGCTTATGACAAAAGCTACCTATGCAGGTCCATGTCGTCGTATAGACCCTAATATAACAGCTACATTCGGTATTTTTTAAGATTTTAACAGAATTTTTAACGGATTTTATTGTTTTTGAGAATTGTTAAATTCGGTCCAAATGGTGAAGGGTATTCAAAGTTCGGCCCGGCCGAACTTACAGATTTTTTAATTGTTTTAATTAATCATCCTCCAAGTGATATCATGCATTCTATTGCAAACTATAATTGATCCAAAGCCAAATGTTGATAGGTGATATGATCTACTTGAAGTAAATTATTTTGTTATGGGAACTCTTCTAAATATGCATAGTGGTGTAGTCTGCCCCGCCCGACTTTATACTGGGTTTTCTTTACTGGCTTTAGTGTAAAAAATGTTTGTCGGCACAACGTAACCATTCCCAGAGATGTAAATCTTTAAGTTTCCGACATATTGGTAGTTTCAAGTTGAAGGGCACTAGTCAATTTTCAGGACAATTTCCCACTTCTTTAAATGATGGCTGTTATCTCTTTGTGTTGTTCCAATACAACTAAGATTAAAGCCGTTTTTAGTGTAAAAAATGTTTCTCGACACAATGGAACCATTCCAAGAATGATAAGTCTTTTAGATTCCCAGATATTTGCGATCGTTCGAAGTCGAATTGAATGCGTATACGTTATGGAATTTACTTCTGAAATCGAGTGGATTTAGTAGTCCAAACGTGCTGTAAGGTTAGCTATACCTAAAATCAGTGGATTTTCTGGTATAGCTCCCCCATAAATAACGTTTAGTATCCCCAATAAATGAACATAAAATAATGATAAAATTGGTCACTACCGATTGCGGTATACGGCATAATATAGTCTGCTACGCCCTACTATGGTCCATCCCTTCCTTACTGGTAGCTTTTGTTTGTTTCTCTTGCAACTACGCTGCCAAGGATGTTTATGAACATTGCCATTGACCAACTGACAAATGTACTTCGATGATTGGTTTGGATATATTACATTGGCGTTATGGCCGAAGTAGTAGTAGTAGTAGTAGGATAGTAGTTTTGGAGGAGATGTTTTTTTTTTTTTTTTTTTGTTCTTTGTTTATACGTTTGTATGCTTTCTTAGTTATTGGCTTCTTTTGAGCATTCATTTGGCATCCAAGCAAGACGCTCGCTCAATGTTGACATTTTGTATTTGCCTACAAATTGAGAATTACTTTTGATTTGTTTATAGTCATGCATTATTTACATTATAAATTTTTTAAGCAATTTACAAATTTCCGATGTCCATATTCATATTGTTAACAGTATAACAAATGGTTCTTTGAGTCTATTGATTATTGTCTTTCGGAATGGTTGTGGAATAGATGTGTGTCTACAGTTCTTGCTGTATATATAAAAATGTATATAATGAGATTCATTGAATAAAAAAGTTGACTTAATATTAATATATACCAATATTGTTTTTTTCCAGAACTGCAAGAATGTTAAATTTTTTACTACGATAACCGATTTTTCCTTTATGAAATCGAAAAAAATTGCAAAACTAGTATATTCTTGGTCTGCGGCGCATTACTCATAGAATATTATAGTTACAGAACAAGCAAGAATCTATATTTAATTTTTTTCGAAAATTCGTAGTAAAAACGGTAACATTCTTGCAGTTCTGGAACATACCAAATATTGCTGAAACTTAAACAAGTAAAAAAACGTTGTATGTTCGGCCGGGCCGAACTTTAAATAACCTCCACCATATGAAACGAATTTGACAATATTCAAAAAAAAATCGGTTAAAAATTCTGGTAAAATTTTAAAACTAACGAATGTAGCCCTTATATTAGAGTCTAGACGCCGACGTGGAACTGTATAGGCAACTTTTGTCATAAGCTATTACAATATTCGAATGCGAAACTAAAAAAAATCGGTGAATAATGTAGCTAAAATCATCAAAATATTGAATATATGGAGGTACCGTTATAAGGGGACTATACCAAAACGTGGACCTGCACATACAATTTTCTGTCATAGACTATAGTATCGATTACGAACTTCAAATGCCAAATTTGAAACAATTCCGGTGAATAATGTTGCTAAAATCATCAAAATACCGAATATCGGGAGGTACCGTTATATGGGGGCTATACGAAAACGTGGACCTGCACAGACAATTTGCTGTTTTAGGCTGTAGTATCCATTACGAATTTCAAATACCATATTTGAAACAATTCTGGTGAATAATGTCGCTAAAATCATCAAAATACCGAAAATCGGGAAGTACCTTTATATGGGGGCTATATGAAAACGTGTACCTGTATAACCAATATTCTGTCACTGAAGCTGGAACCCATTGCCAACATTAAATACCATTTTTTAGACAACCCGTGGAAAAATGTGGCAAAAATCATCAAAATACCGAATATCGGGAGTTACCCTTTTATGGGGGCTATAAGAAAACCTGGACCTATATATAAAATGTTGCGCCATTGGAGCTAAAACCAATAACGAAGTATCAATACCAATTTTTAGACAAAATGGAGGAAGGGAATGTGGCTAAAACTATTGAAATACCGAATATCGGGAGCTACCATTATATGGGGGCTATCCCAAAACGTGTGCCGATATATATCATTTTCAATACCAACCATCCTGGACACAATACTAACTACTGTGCCAAATTTAAAAGCCCTGCGAGAAACAATGTGGGCCGTATTGTGATTTTAACAGACAGACGGACATCGCTAAATCGACTTAGAATTGTATACTGATCATGAATGTATATACTTATGGGGTCTTTCACAAATACTTAGAGGTGACAAATTTAATATACCCTCCTTTCCAAGGTGGAGGGTATATAAAGCACTTAATTTTAGGAGGCCCATAAACTTTAATACCCTCCAACATTTGTAAGGAACTTGCAAACTAAAAAAAATACGTTTAAAATGCTCTCGAACTCCAAGTACCAAATCTGAAACAATGGCCATGAAAAATGTGGCTAAAATCATGAAAATACCGAAAATCGAAAAGGTACAGTTCTATGGAACTATATGAAGACGTGGACCTCTATGTATAATTATCTGCTACAATGTTTTCTACTTACCGGAAACACAAACTGTCAACATATATCTAATTCGTTTTGAAATTGTGACCCAAAATACATTAATCTGCCGGTACAGGGGCTATACCAGGACGTGGACTCATTTTTATTACCAAAAAATCTATGGACTTAAAATACATTTGCGGAAATTTTTGTTGAATATTTAACCTATGTTCCAGAACATGCAAGCATATACTAACATTGCAATTTTTTCGATATCATAAAGGGAAAATAAGCTATCGTAGTAAAATGTTTTACATCCCAGCAGTTCTGCAACAATCTATTAATGCTTCAAAAAGCAGTTTTGGTTGCAACGAATCGCTGATACGTGTTCTTGTTTAGTAGCCCTTGGGCTGGTCCTAGTTCGAATTCTGGCCATGCCTTGAACTAGGAACCAATGACTTGTACCCTTATCCCCTCTTTTGTATTTAGGCCTTTGAACTCATCGAAGTATATATACGCTATTACCACAACACGGTGTTATCGACAATTTAACAATTTGTTATGCATACTTTGAGGAGGACTCTTTATCATAGATAGAAACCATAGAGACATACCTCTTAATTGAAAATTTTCTCGCCAGGGGATTTTAATTATATTATTTTTTTTAATTTGTTTTAATAATCTGAAGCATTTAATGAAATAACCATAGACTTATGAATATATGGAGAACGGAATGTTAATTTTGTCTTTTTATGGTAGGTCTCGACACGTTTTTGCATAGTCAACATGTTTATTAAACCAGTCGACCTACTCGATTTCGTTTGATTGATTGATTCCATTCCAATCCACTTTGGGAAATGCCACCTCAAGAGCACAAATATATCAGGTTAAATTACTTGCATTAAAATAGAATACTTAAATCAAATGCATACCTTCTTCACAGAGGAAAATTAAATTATGTTCTTATACACTGTCAACTTTATTCATTTTCAATTCTTTCATATTTTCATTCGTTTCAGCATCTTGAATAGTAAACATAAGTGAATCGCTTGGTTTTTTCGTCCATTGTTGGAAATACTTCTCCCTAAGTTGCAACCAAGCATCTTGATATTCGACAGATTTTGATTTTACATCAAAATACGATATGGATTGCAAATTTTCATATTCTCTCGATATATTTTTTTGTAATTGTACTGTGTCCACGAAATTCTTAAATAGATTTATTTTTGCCACTGATAAGGCGGCCGCATGGGTATTCAACTTTTTTCTAGTAACACCTTGACGCTTTCCATTGACCGATATTTCATAGGGTCTATAAGTAAAAACAAAACATTAGAACTAGGGAATCTAGGAAAGCATGTTTATGAAATTGTAACCATACATACCTCATGGTAGCTGGAATATTACACCACACTAAGCCATTAGGTGATGGTTGTTTCAGTTCGTTTTGAATATGGGGAAAACCTTCTGTCTTATAAATTCTAATTTGCGGTTTGTGTAAGTTAAATTTGTGATGACTATAGGTTGCCTTTTCAAATCGTTTCCAAATGGCCCTTTCCAAAGCATTATAATCTGTTTGACAGAAATTTAATGTTTTGAAATATATCGGAGCATCTAGAAGCATGTGCAGTAGTGCTCCTTGAAATCCCATTACCTGCCATTTAGCTAGTTTATCACTGCAACTCATAGAGAGAGTTCTCTCACCTCGTCCAGGTTTCGTTCGCACAGCACCGACTATTTGGTCAATGGCATCTACATGATCAGAACCCAACAGTTTAGCTCCTGTATAAACCATGTCACCACAATTCTCATTTGTGTTATCCTTTACTTCACAGTCGTCAAGTTTTGATTTTTTGCTAAGTGGTTCGCCATCCACTTTATCACCTCCATTACCAATTATACAGGCATCCCCACATGGAGTCTGGGTACATATGAAATGAAAGCTTATACCTTCTTTCAACCTGCATTTATTCTTCTCTGGTATCCACTCGAAGACAGTATCATTATTGGCCTTCAATGTTTGCTGCAATTGATAATAAAAACACCTCAGTACACCTCTACGGGCCAACACCTCAGCGTGTGAGTCATTGAGTATTAAACCTTTAGGACATAATTTGCTCTTCCCAATACATTTGGTTCCACATCCTAGAGAGATTACTTCGTTTGTGGCATTGTTGCAATTGTGCATAACAACTCCCGCCAACACTGTCCATTCCGAAGCACCTGGTTTACCAGTTTTAGGCAGGCTTTTAAATTTGGAAAAGCACAATTGTGCAATAGTGTCTGGATCTGGAATCTCTTGCGAATTGGTGACCATAGTGCCACAACAGACCGAACAACATAGTGGTCAACAGATCGAAAAAGATGGCATTCAGGGCTTAGCAGGTCGAAAGGCAGACATGAGCTGGAGTTCACAGAGTTCACCAGATCGAAAACCTGAATCTCTTGCAGGGTTTTAAAAATCGTCACCTTCTAAACATAAACAGCTGTTTAGAGATCCTTCAGAGAAATAAATAAGGTACTGTTTAGTGAAGTTTTAACATATGATAACAACAACTCCGTCACTTGTAACGCCGTTGTATATTCCAATGGCGCCGGCAGATTCCATTCTTGTTTCGGGTTTTCCCCAATATAAGAATTTTATTAAAAAAATGAAAAATAAACAAAACCAACTGTTGCATACTGAAAAGTCTATTTGACACTATAAGACTCCAGCACAGAGATGCATTTTTCTAGTTTCTTTGAAGTTGATCAACCTTTCTTATTGAGCCATGGAACCAATCTACAGTCTATGAACCGAATTATAAGCAATTCCGTTTAAAAATGTCGTTAGAATTCAGAAAATACCTTAGATCGGGAGGTGCGCTTTCCATCTCTAATTGTCGTCTATACACTGGATTTGTATATATAAATTTTGACAATTAGATATTGTCAAATGTATAATTTCAAGGAAATTGTAAACATATGACTGTATGACTTTACTTTAAAATTAGACAATTCTGTTAGAAAATGTGATCTAAATCTTCAAAATGTCGAATATCAGTAAGTACTGTTATATGGGGCTAAACGAAAACGTGCACCAACATGACCTATTTACGAACTTAACCTGCCAACTGACAAAATACACATGTGTTCAAAATTTTAGACTTCCATGTCAATCCGTTCCAGAAGCAGCGTATCTACAACAGACTGTCTGATATCGTTAAATCCATTTAGAATTTTACGCTGATCAAAAATATATATACCTTGTTGAGTCTAACATGATTGTTTCGAGGAGTTACAATCGGAATGACAAAGTTAATATACCTTAATATACCTACCATTGTTTAATGAATATCCCCGTTGAACTAAATCGTTGGCGAACGCGTAACCGGAAAAAAAATGTTGTAAATACAGCCCACGCGCCTACACCGTTTTGTTCAATGGTGTGTAAGCCACCTTACATTGTTTTCATCTTTCCCTTTTTTGTTCAACAAAGTTTCGAATTTTGTAGCATGGTAGAAGAATATAGGTAGACGCATCGACACAGCTGCTGGGACAATGAACTGTCAAACTCATTTTGGAATTGAAAATTTTGAATGAAAAATTATTTAAATTTGTAAAAATTGTTGAAAAGCGTGAATTATAATAGCCTCCGAATGAGGTAGTATAAGAAAACATATAAAAATATATTTATATTTAATAAAATATTTAAATTTTTTTGACATATCAATGCTCCCAAGCGTTGATGCATCTACCTGTATTCTTCTGCCATGTTTTGTAGCTAGTTCCGCGCTCTTTTAGTGAATGTGTTCAGTTTTCCTCAAGTCTCATTCGTAAACAACAGAGGCCCCTCGTGTATTTTGCTTTCTGTTTAATTTTTATCAAGTATTCTTTTGACATTTATATTCGTTCCATTGGGGACGACTTTCATTTTGGTCGATCATTGCAGGTGAAAAACAGCTGCTTATGTTTAGATGGACCGATTTTTAAAACCCTGCAAGGAATTCCAGTTTTAGATCTGGTGAACTCTGTGAACTCCAGCTCATGGTTGGCTTTCGACCTGCTAAGCCCTGAAGGCCTTCTTTTTCGATCTGTTGGTCCCTAAAAATTTGGAATATTTACTTCGAATATTTACTTTGAACGACAAATCTAAAGGAAAGGGTTCTTTTTAAATGTCCTAGCTAGTCATGACACTTGCGGAAGCATATCGTTCATGTTGGTTAATAGCAACATTTGGTTTGGTTCTATTTATTGGTGGAGCCGGAGTTCTCTTTTGGAATGAGGTAACGTAACATATACTGTTCCGCTAAAAGTCAATAATTTGTTTTGTTCTAGGGAAGAGCCGTACACACGATAATGTCATTAGACGAGGCCTTGGATGATGCTGTGACCCTGGATGCTGGGGCCGATGAGATTGAGCCAATTTACAATGATAGAATTGTACATATCACTGGGCCAATAATTGTTGGAGAACCTCTGACAGAACCGGACTATAATATTCAGGTTTTGGCTGTAAAGTTGAAGCGAAGAGTTCAAATGTATCAATGGGTGGAAGAGACGGTGTAAGTGCACAGAGATTAAGGTTTTAATATAATCGAACATTGTAAAATATTCATTCTAGGGAGCATAATTATGGAGAGAGTGTAGCTTCAGTACATACAGAAGACCGCACTTACTACTACACAAGAGATTGGCGTGATCACGTTGTTGATTCACGTTCTTTTTATATACAAACTGGACATCAAAATCCCAGACAATTTCCCATTGAATCTACGACGCAGACAGCAGATGCTGTTTACATTGGTCGTTTCGAGTTGGGTAGCGATATTAAAAACATATTCAGCAATTACGTTGAATTAACATCGGATACCAGACCTGAAGATCCATCTATAAAATTGCATTTGGGTTTATATTATCATACGAATGATATTTTTAATCCTGAAATAGGCGATATACGTATTCTGTTCTCCTTTGCCGGAATGGAGGGTGAAATGGTGAGTGTGTATAGAAGCATATACCTATCAAGATGATAAAATTAATACGATAGATCGCTTCAAAATATTTGATCTGTTCCAGAACTGTAAGAATGTAAAAGGTTTTACTACGATAACCGATTTTTCCTTTATGATATCGGAAAAATTGCAAAACTAGTAGATTCTTGCAGGTTCTGGAACAGACCAATTTAAAATTTTCAACGGCAAAAATAAGGTAATAGCTGAGAAATATTGTCCCCAAAAATAATGTATTTGCATTGCCTTTTGAGTTTTTGAGGAGTGGTATATCGCTTTAAAATTTGGCAACTACATCTGTGATCAAAAATAATTGGATATTCATTACAGATGCAATTTAAAGCTGCATTTGTTGAAAAAGCATTTTTAAGAATCTTTCAATCACACATTTTTTATTCTTTATATAAAATATTTACACACTTTTCTTTATTTTTACAGTACACAATAGTTGGAAAACTAGTGAAGAACAAAATCGAACCATACGTAACTAGTCAGGGTGTTAAAATTTTACTCGTCTATCCGGGCGAGCATTCATTGACTGAAGTGTTTAAAAAAGAACATCATGCTCAACGCTTAACCACATGGGGCTTCCGTTTTATGGGCTGGGTTTTGGTATTTTTTGGTGTAACATGTACATCCACGTTGTTGCATTTGATATGTAAGTACGGAAATATATTTTGCAGCTACTGCCATGACTTCAAATACAATTGAATTATTTTTAAACCTTGTCCATTTATTATTTACTTTAGTGTCACGTATACAGTTTCTCTCAGCCCTTGCTCCAGATCCACGATTTCCGGTGGGTGCGAATGTGTTACTTTCACTCTCTATGGCTCTGGTCATAACAGCTGTTGCTTGGATTTTACATCGACCCATGATTGGAGCTGGTTTGATGTTTGCTGCGGCCTCACCATTCGTGTGGTTTGCCAGAGGTGTTGCAAATTATCAAAGAGTCGATTGACAGGATGTAAGAAGATCATAAAATTTGGATCGGTTGGCATGGTTTATTAAACATTTGTGAAGAATAATTACAATGTAAGCTTCTATATCTTATGATTGTTAATGCATTTGTTTTCCGAAAATTGAACTGAAATGAACCCATTATTCATAAAAAACAATTGGTTAACAGTTAAAAATAACTGGATATAACCTCCTGCTTATGTTATTACTTTATTGATATTATTTTTTGTTATAAGACATCTCATAGATTTATTGATTTATTTTCAAAACATATTCATTGTTTTAAGTTTGTGTTTACTTAAACTTTTACATGTTTTAAAGTTTTTTTTTTTTATTTTAAAACAAAATAAAAAGAGTTTACCAAAGGAGTTCAATAAACTGATTTTTTAATATGATTATGAAATTTTTACTGTGCAAATATTTATCATACCGAAACATAGATACGATTTTCTTATTTTTGTGCATTAATTGTTCACAATATTGGCGTGCAGCATAGGGATTAAGATTTGTACAAATTACAATTATCCCCCAATGAGGTTATATCTTTGTACATTTTTCGTATGTTGAGAAAGATTTGGAAAATATAAATACGATTTTTTTCATCAGTCATGATGAAACATGTAATGTTGCAACAGGGATGTTAGAATTTGTTTAAAACAAATTAATACCCCCAAGCTTGAAATTGTGTATATATTTACTTAGTAATACTTTCAATTAAAATGGTTGGATACAAATATATACATTTTGTATAATGAATACATATACATACATTTTTGTGTACGTTTGATTACAAGAAATTTTAGTTACTCCACCCGAAGACCTTTCGGTCATTACACTCATACCTATATCAAGTCGATAAAAATTTTAATGAATCTTGGATACCATATACGATAAAAAATATAGGTCTAATGGATTGCATATTAACTGTGATGATGTTCCCAGAAGACAAAATCATAAAATTAAAAAAAAATTGGCTGCTGATAACTCAACAAAGTTACAATTCATAGTCGACCCATAAAACGACTTTCGGCCAAACCCCTCGGCAGTAAATAGATATCTAAATTAATTATTTTTCAATTCTATTTTAAGCCGTTCAACAAAGAATATTGCTTATAACTTCCACTTTAATTGTAGCTATTGAAACCCACAGCCTGTTGTTTAGGACAATCACTTTCACTGTCTATACTAGGTGCAACGCAATTGTTCTCTGACGCCTGTTTATGCGCATTACTAGACGATGGCATGCTGCCGGTATTAGGTGAATTGCTCGACATTATATTTGGACTCTGCGATTTGTCGTGACTAGTGCTGTTTGTGTTATCATCGACCTGTGGCTCTTCAAAACGTACATAGGGTTCGAAAGCATTTAATTGCATTGAGCCCCGATGCAGAGTACCAGATTCAGCTTCAAAGAGTATATCGTTAATAAACTTTTCAGCAAAGAGCCGTTGGTCTCGAGGTAAACGCTTAAGTTTATGTGCCCATGTTCGGGTGATGGACTCTTCTTCGGGATAATTGGAAGAGAGACAACTGTAAGAATTTTTATTCAAATTGTTTGATATTTTCAAACGTTTATTTCCATCACTACTTGGCGTGGATGCTTCTGCTTGTGAAGGAATTTGCTGGTTATATGTGTTTATATCATTGCCACCATTACTTATGGCCCCGGACATATTATTTAAGGAATTTCCTATATTGTGTTGCATTGCCTGTGACTTTTGTTGTTGCTGTGTGGAAGGATTGCTATTTTGGCCAAAATTCTTTTGAAACAATTGCGTTATACTTGGAGGCGGTGAGCTACCATTATTCATACGGAAGCCATAAGGAGACATTTCCAAAAAGCTTCCCTGAGGTGTAGTCTCATTAAATAGACCGAATGGAGGTGTGGAATTTGTTGTGTTGCTGCTTGGCGTTTCACTTTTTATGTAGTTAGGGTCAATGGCAAGAAATTTTTCCGCATTTCTGAGGAAATCCAATTCGTAAAAAGTCCAACAACGTGGCTGATAACTTGTTCCTTGTCTTCGAGAGCTTTCAACAATTTTCAGTTCCTTGCGGTAATTGGTCCTCAGAGTATTGATTTTCTTCTTTACATCCTGCAAGTTGGCATCCCGCTTTAAATATTTATAAATGGGAACCAACTGTTGATATGCCTCGGCACGTTTATCTCTATTTGTGTAATCACGCAATGTTGTATCCCACAGGATGGGAAGGTTGTGGTAGGTTTGTATGAAAAGTTTCAGGTAATGACGATTTTCTTCTGTCACACTAAACGAAGACTTTATATTGATCGATTGCTGCTGCTGTTGACTGGGATCCAACATACTAATGCGCTGCGTATGCTTGTGAGCAACTTTTTTTTTCAAATTTGACCGTTAAAAGTGCCTTTAACGATTTATAAAAACACTTGAGCGCTATTGTTTTCGGAGTGGGATGGTTCAATTGTGATGATTTTCTTCAATGTTTTCCTCTGACAACGTAATGGACGTAATGATATGTTGCTGTATTGACACTGTCAAATGGATTGTATGTATTGACAGATTGCAGCATTGACACAATGAGTTGTGTTGCCAATTACAATTAGGGTTACTAATGTTGCAAGTTGGCAGCGCGGTATTGCATTAAACTGTTATTAACGGTCATTTTTGGAATTTGAAACTATTGAGGAAATTAATTCGTATACAGACTATGCGCTGTGAACATGCAAGAGAGTATTTGCAAATGTATTTGTGAATTTCTGCAGTATTAAGCATGAAAATAATTTTGATTTAATTAAAAAAAACTCTTTCAATCAAATGAGCTTAGTTATTTTTTCAAATTATTTCTACATTAAACAACAAGAAAATAGGTATATATATATTGTTTCAATGTTTTTTTAACCAATAAATAAATACATAAAATCTATAAAGAACAATTTTGTCAGTTGTGTCTTTATACTCGCCAAACTAAACATCATATTAGAATAAAAAAATGTACATTTGAAAATTAATATGCTTAAATTCGGGGGGTAGTCCCATATAAGTTGAGGTTGTATAAAACAGATACTACTCAGTTATACATTAAATAGAAACATCATCATTTTCAAATGAAAAAAATCTTTTCTTTTCGGTATATGAAAATTTGTTTTCAATTCAAAAGAGACAATTCTATATATATATATATATATATATATATATATATATATATATATAGTCTTACAACCCTCAACCATATGTAGTCCAAGCAGCACTCTAAAATTAATTAAAGTACCTTACAGCATGGACTGCGATATGCGTTTAAAATGTCGATGTTCATCTGTCCTGCAGTTCACAAGATGACGCACAGTTTGCTGCGTTCTTCATCGCCCATGAGCCGATTGATCCACCATTAAATATAAGTACAACTGTAATTGTATGTTTTTGTTATGCAATGTATGTATTCGATCAAAGAAGATCAAAACAGTACACTGAGTATAATCGAATAGTTGCATGGAATTATAAAATAATTCTTTACAACTATGACAATTGTAAACCAGTACATTGAAAAAGTTAGATTGGTCTTCTTCTTTCTTGTTTTTAACTTTATTTCCACCAAATTTCTTCTATGCAGAAGAAAATATGGAGAATAAAAGTTTTTTTTGTTCCTTATTCTGTTAAAACATACACATTTTGTGTATGTGTGTGTCATGGTACAATAAGGAGATAGAACAGCTTCGTAAAACTACAGAAATACAGCACTGAGGCTATGTCCGCTTCCTGTCAAAAACATTATTTTCTTTTTTTCATATTTTCCCTCATTTTTAAAATAAGTTAAATACCGCCAAAAATTAATGAAATGCCTGGATTTCAATTTCAATTGCTAAACTGATTAATAGTTTTAATGCGCGAGCCGTCATGTACCTGTCTTCCAATCATTGTTTTTGAAAATATTCTGTTTTCATTTTTCAAAAAAAATACATACAAAAAATTGGCAGAAATCGGGCACACTTAGAAAAAATTGTAATCAGCTGGTAGCTCTACCTTACCTTTTTTTGTACCATGGTGTGTATTGTTTTGAATAAAAAATAAAATAATTTGAAATTATTTCAAATATGGTTGCAAAATAAATGCACATTTTCTACGAAATGGTAAACAAATTGTACAATTTTGTAATAAAAATGTATTGTCCTATTATTTTAGATTTAATCCTGTGGAAATTCCATTCTTATTTCGCACGTTTTTCCAATATATGAATTTGAATATGAAAAATCAAAATAAACAAAGCCAACTGTTGCTATTCAAAAGTCTATTTGACATAATAAGACTCAAGTACAGAGTTGCATTTTCCCACTTTCCTTGAAGTTGAGCAACCTTTCTTATTAAGCCATGCTCTGTCCTAACTTGGAAATTATTGTACCATGACTATTTTATTAACTGGAAACCTGTTGTCAAACCGGAAGCGTTAATGTTTAGTAATTTGATGTTTTTACATAACATTCATTTTCTTTCAACTTAATAAAACAGACCCTATATACCATGGCAGAAGAATACAGGTAGATGCATCAAATGCTTTTTCAAATATAAGTATATTTTTATATGTTTCTTATACTACGTCATTCGGAGGCTATTATAATTCGCGTTTTTCAACAATTTTTACAAATTTAAATAATTTTTCATTCAACATTTTCAATTCCAAAATTGGTTTGACAGTTCATTGTCCCAGCAGCTGTGTCGACGCGTCTCTGTTCTCTACACACAAAGACGTCAAATACATGAGATAACTTTTAATTAGTTGACAACATTGTTCTGCAGTGTTGCTATCAATTGACAATGTACAGGGTTGCTCAAAATTGTCATCTGGACCTGAAGTGTATAAACATCGCACCACAATTGACGTTGATAACAAAGAGAACAACAACAAAACATAGCAAACGATCGTTGAATTCAATTTGTATTTGGCCGCGCCACAATAAGTTTACGTTTTGCCGCCGTCGTGCTGTGCTCTTGTCGCGCGTACAGAGAACAAACAAAAAATAGAAGTTTAAACGCTAAAAGGAAAAAGATAATAAATCTCAATTGAAGTTGTCAAATTGAATTAGAAAAAAATCAAACAAAATGCTAATAAAAATTGTGCAATGGAAAACAAATTGTTGACAAATGCATTAGTGGAAAAAAGATTATTGAAAACATTGTGATTCCGCGGCGTCGTTGTTGTCCTTGAGTGGCCTGTGTGCGGAATGAGAATGCCATTAAAATGAAAAAAGAATGCGTTGAAAGAACAAAAAAGATCCCACGAATAAAGATTGCTTGCCAGCGTACCTGAGTGATAGCCAAAGTTTTATACCCGAAAACATTTATCTATATTCGCCAAGGATACACATTCCTATAGATCTTGTATAGCGATTTTTTAATAATATTTCTGTGCGCTGAGGTGTGGCAAAAGAAAGGCCACACTTGTTCACAATTTTGAGCTGCCTCTTGGCAATTTCTACAAAGGATTACGCATACACATTGAAATAACAAAAGCCTGTTTATGGTGCATTTTGTTGTGAATAACAATACTTACTTAGCAATACCATTTGCTAATACAGAAAGCCATCCCAAATTTAATTTTAATGTTTACAAGTCTGTTTAAGCTCTGTGAGCATTCATTCATGTACATATTGCATATTCCCTGCCGGAAACTGTATTGAAGATTTGTGATTAAATTGCTGTGAACTATTAGCGGGTCTTGCCGTTAATTATCCATATTCAGGATGGAAACTATAGACGAGCACTCGTCCAAGTATGGTAAGTAATGTGGCGTATGCTGTAGGCTTTATCAATGACATTAATCTACATTGTTCTTTTGGTTGTATACCTACACATGTACATCCTGTTGTTGTTGGCAAAGGTATATCACCGTGTAATCTACAGCTAAAGGTATTAAAGTGCACACAGGCGAAGCTGTAATTAGGAAATGCCTAGTATTTAGAATTCTAATGGAAAATTAAAAGCTGCGCGATATTGTTGACAGACGTAAAGGATTTATGGCGTGTTACTTATTATAGACAAGAAAATTAAGTAATTGAGATAATAATTGCAGATTTTTTCCTTAGGAAATTCACTTTTTTTAAATTAGGGAAGGACCGCTCGTAGCAAACATAGTTGGAACATAATCACAGCATCCACATTTCATTTTAATTTTAGGATACGCAAAAACTTTTGCTTTAAATTTCTAATTCAACGTTTCACGCCCCCAAATTTTGATCTGCTAATTCCTATACTGAAAATAAATATGACTGAAAGAGATAACTTATGTAATCGTCGCATCGATTGAATTAATTAGCCCTCTAAGTTTGATTTTACGGAAAATACATATAACTGAAAGAGGTACCATATGGAACCGTCGAAACGATTGGGGTAATTGCACTGGTCGATTTGGGTTGGTTCGGTTCTGTGGTTCACATGAACCAAGGCTCGGTTTTGAAATAGATTTTCAGACGGGTCGAACCGTGATTTTGGTTCGGTTCAGCGATATGTATAGTTTCGCACACAAAATTTTTGTTAAAATTCAATAAATTAGCGGTTGCGACGCAATTTTCAGCATATTTATATTAAAAATGTATTTATATATATTTTTTTATATTTTTAGACGATTTAAAAAAAATAGGTGTTGTTTACATTATCGAAATTGGTGAGAATCGTTTCCAATCTAGACATAGCTCCCACATATATCTTCGTTCGATTTCAATTTTATTGTACGCCATATCTATAATATTCGTCCAAACAGGATATATTTCGGCACGGCAAGAACTTCAAATTTGGTAAAAATCGGGTCACATATACCTAGCTCCCATACATATGTTTCATCCGATTTGGTGTTTAAGTCCTTCGTATTCGCAATATGCACTCCAAAACAATGATGTTTGGTACCAGTTTCTCATACTCTCTGCCAAATTGATGAAGCACTAAATTGTACAGATGAGCGAAGTTGCAGCACCAAAACGGCGGAAATTATATACTGGAACTACATCTACTACAAATACGGGTTAAAAGACTGTGTTCAAAAGATGTGAACGAAGAAGTGGTCATACTACCCGTCGGTTGATTTCTATATCTATAAAAGAGGAATATGGTTGTATGTTTGTTTGTAATTTATGAACTCGAAACCCGCTTAACAGATTTTTCTAAAAATTTCCAAGTATACTACAACATCGCCTGAAAGAATGTATGTATATTATATATGTTCGAACACGATATTGATGTACCCAAAAAGAAAATCGGAAAGAGAGACGAAATCTGGTACCAAAAAAATTTACCAAATTATATTGAATTCGGTTGAGGTTTCGGTATAGCTCCAATAAATATATTTCGGCCGATTTCATGTATGTTATGCACCAAACACGATGTATATAACCGATTCCAAAGAAATTTAGAATATGTAGCGGAATTTGGTTTGGTTTGACAAATTAATTGGGAATCGGTTAAGATTTGGATATAGCTCCCATATATATTTTTTCGGCTGATTTTACGTATTTGTCGCAGCAATTTCAATGAAATATGGAAGGTGTGACGGAATTTGGTTTAAAAGTAAATTTTGTCAAATTATATTGAAATCGATTCAGATTGGGTTATGATTTTATTAAGAAGCATTGATCCACAAAGCCTTTGCACTGGTAATAGGCTAACAGTAAAATACTACACAATAATTTAATTTAGGATACGATTATTACGGGGAAGTATGTTGCTACCTCGAATTCTCTAATTGCAACAGAAATGCCACTCAACTTCAAAAGATTGCAGTATCCTGCACGCTTGGGATTTGCTATGAAATCAAAAAAATTGAAGAACAAACCCTTCGTGTATTCGGACTAAATTTAGCATGTTCATGCTTTTCTCATGGTCAGCTGTTCCTGGCATGTTCACGCGTTGGCAGACCGAGCTATTTGTTTATTTACCCATTAAAGTATTACAATATTTTTTTTTTTATTTTTGAATTTGTTTTATTTTTTTTTTTTAAGCCAACATATATAATTGAATGCATATAAAATCAAAAGGGGTAGCGAAGCGCACCGGGTTCAGCTAGTCGTCATATATGGATTGTTTGAAAACGTATAAAAATAAAAAATAGGTGCGAAATTATAGCTAACACTCAAGTTTTTCTTAAAATGGTGCCATGTCCAGTGAAGTTAGTCTTGGACTTACAACTATCCGTGAAAGATATGCCTACCAAGAACCTAACTTTTCAGTACCAGGTTTAAAGAAATTTCTGTTATTAAATTAAATTAAGGACCGAGATAGTATCTTCGAGATATAAGGGAAATTTGACTTGTAATCTCAAACGGAATTTTATTTAAAATAAAATAATTTAGTTTCAGGTAACTTTGAACTTGGTCCAGGGTAAAACTCTGAAATGCCTACATTCTTACTTACGAGTAATGCATTTTTCGACGCAACCAATATCGAGTCAAAAAAGGCGAGTTATACCCACATATAGTCCATTTTATTTTTATTAAATTTGAAGGTTCATACATTAAGCAAGTAAGAAACTCTAACGAACAAAATCCAACACGTTTCAATCAGGACAAGGGCTACTAACTATAAGTACGAGTTTTAGAATAATCCCAGACGAGCTCAGAAATTCAACTTGCTCCAAAAGGTTGTTAGTAAAAAATAACCCATTCTGTCGTTACAAAGCTTTGCTAGAAAGATAATAAGAGAAAGTCAAGGCTAGAATTAAAAACTAAGAAATTTTGCATAAAGTGTGCTTTAGAATTTCCGTGTGGATTTACCTTACCAAGGTTATCTTCATTAACAAAGCCCATTTTTCCACTTTCTATTAAAAGTATTTCTATAGAAATTTGCTATGAACGGGTTTATCCCAGCTTTATAAAGTTCAGTGTCATTGGAGGCTAACTAATAATAGGAATTCCTATTTTTACAAGTACTTATTAAGTTACAAAAATGCCCTTGAAATCTTCCGTGTAAAATCCTTTTACTTACCTATTCAGCCTTCTATAAAAATCTGTCTATGGAAATTTGTTTGTTTGGGTTTAACCCAGTTTAATGCACAGTTTTTTTGTCCTTTTTGCTTTTTTTTTCGTTACTCCAATAGTTTTCCATAAATTGATCATTTTCCGTTTTATTTGTGGTTGTATTTTATGTGTGTGTGTGTCTGATGTATTTTTACTACAATAGGTAGAAAATGTGTGTGTGGTGAGGTGTGGAATTAAAACTGCTCTAACGTGAATTTTGTTATTACCTCCCTTTCATATCTAGTTTAATTGTCATAGCGTAGATGCACGCACGGATGTAGTTTTGTAGGTACATAAATCCTTATTCGATAGCAGACATTGGGGTGAGTCTGCATTAGTCGACAATGTCGACGGACAACATCATTGAAAGAGCGTTTTTGACTTGTTTTTTATTCAACTTACTTTATTCCTGAATACATACTACCACCATCATTCGAATACATTGAGGATCATTACAAATACACACGAACCAGTTCATTACAGGTTTCCTGTTTATCTACACTGTGGGTAAATAGTAAACGTATAGAAAATAAGAATGGAAAAATAAAATACGAAAAAAATAAAAATACGAAACTAGCCCTTTGTAACTTTACAAGATGCTAATTTTGTTGATTTTTAAGTAATATTTTTTTATGTTTATTAAAAAAGTCAATTCTTTAATTTTTTTTTAAGTTTATTACAAACGTTGTTGTTTTTGAGAATATCTTTTTAAGATGCATTTGTAAAGAATACTAGCTGAACTCGGTTCGCTACGCTATCCCTTTTTATTACATAAAATTATATTTGATATACGGAAATTTAAATTTAAAAATTTATACGAAAATTTAAAATTATTGTCATACTTAACGCGTAAACAAACAAATAGCTCAGTTTACTATGAGAAAAACAGGAACATGTCAAATTTAGTCCGAATACACGAAGGGTTTGTCCTTCGGATTTATTATCACATTATCATATCATATTCATATCAATGCCAAGCCTGCCAGAAACAGCAATCTTTTGAAGTTGAGTTTCATTTCTCTTGCAATTAGTAAACTAGAGGTAGCAACATACAGGGTGAGATGAAAAAACTGCAACCAACTTCAGAATGCAGTCATATCTAAGCCACTCGTCCGACAGCTGTTAAAATTATTCCAGTGACAGCTCATTATATTGTTTACAAGCGCACAAAAGCATTTTGGGGAGAATTGCCAGAAAAAAAGTTATTCGTGATGGATTTCAAGCATGATAGTGAGATTTCTTTATATTTGGCTGGAAAACCACAAGTGGCTATCGTTAGAGCACTCCAGCATTCAAATGTGAATAAATCTTTTGTGCCTCGTACCATCGCCCGTTATCGTGATATTGTAGCGTAGCCCGACGTCAAGGAAGTGGACGGAAGAATACACCAACATCAGCAGAAATGCTTCGAAAAGTAAAGAAGCGACTTGATCGAAACCCGCGTCGCAGTGTTTACTTGCCAAAGATGTCAGCTGAAAATGTGCACCTTCGGTTGGCCACCGGAACTCAAGCGCCGGCCGATGGTCGCTCTCGTTCGACGGTGAGATCAGAATAAATGCCGAATATTATCGCGAAAATATTCTGGAGGGGTATTAAAGCATTGGGCATGCAAACATATTGGCCGCAGACCTTGGACATTTCAACAGGACTCAGCACCATTGAGGTTCCTCGCATCATTTCCAGCGCACTATGGCCACCAAAATCTCTGGATACCAATCCGTTGGACTATTGTGTCTGGAGTATTTTGGAACGCAAGGTTGGCACTAAAAAATA